CTCTCCCCAGGCCTGTGGCGGGAAGCAGGGGAGGCAGGAACGCGGCACCCACCAGGCTAAGGCCCCACCCGCAGAGGCCCTCTCCCCCTCCGCCTCTGCACCCGTGTCGTCCCACAAACACCCAAGTTCTGTGACAAACCAGAACCAGAGCCCGCAACACCCAGGTTTGAGTCAGGACCCTACCCCCAATTGCCGGGTGAGAATTTCAGTGCTTCTTTCTAAGTCTCTCTGCCCATGGAGGAAAGGCGAAGCTGTCTCTACGGCGTCTCATAGGTGATGGGAAAACTTCGGGGCTGGGTTGCCTGGATTTTAACCGTCACTACTTCAGGTAACGTTGGGCAGGTCCCGACACCGTGCAGCCTCGACTTCCCCATCTGAAACCTGACCTCCCTCCTTCCTCCCAGACCTGCTGCACCCACGGTCTCCCCGGTCCCACTGAGAGCACCTCCGGCCTTCCAACCGAGCGGCTCAAGGCCCCTGGACTCCTCTCTGGCTGCTCTCTTCTCAAGCCTCTTACCCAGCCCACCTGGGAATCCTGACGGAGAATCCTAACTTCAGAAAAACTCCAGGGAGCCTAGCAATTAAGACGTCTGTGTCACAAGCTGGAGTTCCTGGGTTCAAGTCCCAGCCCCACTCCAGGCTCCGGCTTTCTGCTACCATGCACCCTGGAAGGTAGCGGTGATGGCTCCAGCTGGATTCCTGGCACCCACGTGGGAGACTCGGATTGGATTCCCAGCTCCTGGCTTCAGTCCCAGCCCAGCTCCAGCCATTGCAGACACTGGGGATTGGACCAGTGGATAGCAGCCCTCTCTCCCTCTCTCTCTTGCTCTCCATTTTTTAAAAGATTTATTTCATTTCTTTAAAAGGCAGAGTGATAGAGAAGGTGAGATAGAGAGAGAGAGACCTTCCACCTGTCAGTTCACCGCCCAAATGGCTGCAACAGCCAGGGCTGAGCCAGGCTGAAGCCAGGAGCCCGGAGCACCACCCAGGTTCCCATGTGAGTAGCAGGGCTCTGAGCACTGGAGCCATCTGCTGCTGCCTTCCCAGGCACATGAGCAGGAAGCTGGACCAGAAGTGGAGCAGCCAGGATGTGGACCAGCGCTCTGCTTCAACATGGGATGCCGGTGCTGCAAGTAGCAGCTGACCTACTGCACTACAACACTACCCTAGCGTGCTTGGTTTCTGTTTTAGTTCCGGAATCTGATCAATCACAGCCACCCTGGCCCACACCTGGTGAGAGCCATTTTCCATGAGCTTCCATCCCCCTCAGAGTCCTTCAGTGGCTCCGTGTCACTCACACGTGCAGAGCCCCACACAATCTGGCTCAGTCTGAGCCACTTCTTAATACTAGTCCTGCCCCAGCCACCCTCACACCTCACAACCTTGGGGCAGATTCTTCTCTTTGAGAATCTGCCCCAGGGCCTTTGCACAGGACCTGCCATCCCAAAGGCAGCTTCCCAATTTCCTCTCTTGCCTTCTTCAAAGGTCACAACTTCACCTTTGTCCAGAGAGGCCTTGCCAAGCCACCCTGCTAACGCCCCATCTCCCTCCCCTGCTCCATTTGTTTCTCCATAACACTAATCATGCCTCATGTCTGGTATAGTTCTCTTCTTGCTGTTTTATGGTCTGTCTTCCCAGGTGGGGGGAAGTTCGGCATGTGCAGGAGAGCAGGAAGGTGCCCTCAGCACCCTGGACCAGGGCTGTGCGGAGCTGGTCCCCGGCATGTGTGTGCTGCTGACTTCTACGGATGAACGCCTACAACCACGGAGCGGGAGGCTCCTCCCAGGACTGTGCGCGAAGCAGAGGAGCTGAGGGGAAGGAGACCGCCAGCACCCTACGTGTCAGTTCCTGTCCCTCCTACAGGGCCGGGCACAAAGCAGGGTGACAGGAGCCCAGACAGGGAGCAGAGGGGCCGCCACACACAGAGCTGATTCAGGAGAAGCTGCCCCACTGGCCTCTGGCTCTGCCCTCGGCACAGGCAAAACTGAACTCCCAGCTTCTCTTTCTGCAGGTGCACCCCATCACCCAGCAGGTGTGAAGGCCCAGGAACACTCGAGGCCTCCGACTGGGGTTCCCGCCCAGGTTCCCTTCCCCTCTGCTCCCTTGCTTCCTGGGGCTCCGAGAGGCCCCGCCCAGCTTCTCCAGCGCTGGCCAGGCAGACTGGAACCCCCGACAGCAGGACAGACATCCCTGGAGGGGAGGGCAGCGTGTCTGATTCCACCCCTGCTGTCTCTGCCTCCACCAGTGGATCTGTCCTGCCCTGGCCCTGCTGCAGTCCCCTCTGTACCTGTCTCCCCACAACCCCCCTCCCCACCCCGTGTCACTCCTAGCACTTTCTAGCACAATCCCTGGCCTTCAACCCACCTTTGCTAGCAGAAGCCACAGGAGTAGCAGTGACCGCCATTGAGAGAGACAGGGAGCTTTGCTAGTCACAAAACATGCCCAGGTGGCTTCTCAACCCTCGCAGCCACCCCAGGGGAATGCAGCCATGTCCCCATCTCAGCGGCGGGGTAAGCGTTCACGCGGAATGCTAGCGTCCAGGTGCAGCGGCAGTAACTCGTGAAAGTGCAAAGAGAAAGAGAAGCAGCCACGGGTGCACCTGCCCCGGCCCAGCCCCTGGCCTACGTTTATCGACGACTTGGAGGAAGATGGTGGCCTGGTGCTCCAAGTCCTTCTCCTTGGGGTTCTTCACGTGGCAGGTGTACTTGCCCGTGTCGCTGAACTCCAGGCTCCGCAGCAGGATGGAGATGTTGTTCATCTTCTCCTTGGTGGTGCCCTCCAGGGACACACGGTCGTTGTCCCGCAGCTTCACCTTGGGGTCCGACTTCTCGTTCTTCACAATCCCTTCGATGAGCTGAGGAGGAGGGGCGAGCAGGGCAGAGAAGACGCCCCACAAAAGACTCAGGGTCACCGAGAGCGGTGACTTCATCCCGGCCTCCTGGCACCGCCCTTGTCCACGTGCAGGAAGCACCTGCCGGCCCAGGTGCTCCTCCAACCTGCAGGCTGCAGGGAACCTGAACTTGGCATGTTTCACTCTCAAGCCATCTCCTTTTTTTAATTTTTTTTTAATTTTTAAATTTTTTTTGACAGGCAGAGTTAGACAGTGAGAGAGAGAGACAGAGAGAAAGGTCTTCCTTTGCCGTTGGTTCACCCCCTAAATGGCCGCTACAGTCGGCATGCTTAGGCCGGTGTGCTGCACCGATCCGAAGCCAGGAGCCAGGTGCTTCCTCCTGGTCTCCCATGCGGGTACAGGGCCCAAGCACTTGGGCCATCCTCCACTGCCTTCCCAGGCCACAGCAGAGAGCTGGACTGGAAGAGGAGCAACCAGGACAGAACCGGCGCCCCAACCGGGACTAGGACCCGGGGTGCCAGTGCCACAGGCAGAGGATTAGCCAAGTGAGCCACAGCGCCAGCCGGCCATTTCCTTTTGTGAGATGTTCCTGGAACGCGGAGCCCCCACTGCTGTCTTCCTGCGAGCCTTTTATATCAGGACAGCTGGGTCACTCCCACGGCTCTGTCCATCAGCACCCGCCGAGGTCAGCGTTTAGTGATGCCCAGGGGCAGCCACTGTGGCTCCCTGACCAGGGCCCCAGTACCACCTGCTGGCCCGCCCATCCCCCCCACACCGCCCCTGTCAGGGCAGACCTGGCTGGCGTTTGTGAAATCAGACTACTAATTTTTACCTAAGCATCCCGATTTCCAGGGACTGTTTAGGACCCTAGGACTCCAGCCAAGAATCCCAACAGATCCCAAATCCCCACAAGACATTCCAAGCACCCCTCCCACTCTGGCTGGTCCTGACCCTGGAGAAAGGGTGGCAGGAGGCGTGGCCCTCACCGCGGGGAGGCGGCTGGTGGGGGCGGCCGCCCTGTCCTCCTTACCTTCTTGTAGGTGTCACTGGTGTTGTAGGACCACCAGAAGCGGAGGTTCTCAAAGCCGAAGCAACTGGAGAAGGTGCAAGGCAGCAGGATCTCCGTGCCGTTGACGGCGTAAATGGTGGTGGCCTTTCCCACGGACACCTCCAGTGACAGGGCCACGGGCAGTAGGAGGAGACCTGTGCCGGGGTGCAGCTTCCCTTAGTAAGCCCACCAGGACCCCCACGCCGGAGCTCCAGATGGGGACGATCGGCCGGCGAGTGTGGCACTCGGCACGACCACCAGGGGGCACCCCAGCCCCAGGAAAGCGGTCCCCTCACCTGCAGGCTCATCCCCGAACTTGCGTGGGGCTCCCCGCCGTCTGAGTGGGAACCTCCCCATAGGTTTACCGGATTTGTGCACTGGGGAAGCGGGCAACTGCGGGGCCCCGAAAGGTGACGAACAGCCGCAGCACCCCCGCACTGCCCGGGAGCCCCTCGCCGCGGGGGCCTGGAGGCTCCATCGCGTGGGCCTAGGTGGTCCGTGTGAGTCCGACGCCCTCTGGACACCCAGCGGGACCCCGAGAGCAGAAGGAAGTCGGCGGCGGCGGTGGAATCGGGCTCGGTAGGGAGGCGGGTGGGCAGAGGGTCCCAGGAGGCGGGGTCTGCACCGGGCCCCAACCACTCCCCCACCCCCTCCCTCCCGACAGTCGTGCAGGGACGGCCCCGGAAGGCGCCGGCCCGCAGCCCGGGAAGCCGCTGCCTCTGCGCCCCTTGTCCGGGAAAGTCTCGAGTTCCGCGCGCGCTCCCAGGCACGGAAGTACGGGCCCTGCCGCCCGCGCCCTCGTCCTGTCCTGCAGATGCCTCAGGGAAACCCCAACCCGTGAAGGTCATTGGCGGGCGGGGCTGAGGGACAGCCTCTCCTTGCTCGCCCGCTCTCCCTGCTCTGGCCTTCTGTTGTCTAACTGAATCCCCTGGTGACCCAAGTATGACCCGTGCCACCGCGACCATCGCAGCAATAACTATTTGTTGAGTATTTACTATGTGCCAGGCCTAGCTCACCCTCACACCTGTCCTGTAAGCCCGCACTGTTATAGCTCCATACTGTGGATGGAACAACTGAGCCCAGACAAGTTAGGTCAACCAGAGACTTTTCCAGCACCTGGTAGTCCCAAAGCAAGAAAAACCGCCCCTCCCCCTTACATCCTAAAATAGCCAGATTTGTCCAGCAGGGCTCTGGTGAGTGCCAGGATGGGATTTCAGAGAGCCCGCCCATACCCCGGGAACTGTTTGTTCTACGGGCTGGTTTTCAAGCCTGCATCAAAATCTAGAGGGCAGCACGGCCTCTCCAGCCGGGGCCCAGGGCTGCTGGAGAGCTGATTTCTACCAAGTTCCCTGTGGCTGCTGGGGCCCAGGGCCGGCACCGTGGAGTAGCTGGTTAAGCCTGCCTCCTGCGGTGCCAGCATCTCACATGGGCGCTGGTTTGAGTCCTGGCTGCTCCACTTCCAATCCAGCTCCCTGCTAATTTGCCTGGGAAAGCAGCAGAGGATGGCCCAAGTGCTTGGGCCCCTGCACCCACGTGGGACACTCGGAAGACACTTTGGGTTCCTGGCTTTGGATGGTCTCAGCTCTGGCCATTGCAGCCATTTGGGGAGTGACCCAGCAGATGGAAGACTATGCTTGGGCAGCTTGGGCACAGCATAGCCCAGGGGCCTGCCACCCACATCACGTCTCACCTGTGAGGCTGTGCTAGGGGCGAGAAGTGAGTGAGGGCAGGTGCTGACCCATGGTGGCCCTGGCAGGCTGCTTGGGCAGGATGGCTGAGCCAGGAGAGGACTGGTCAGCAGGTGCAAGGTGGCCCCGCTCTGCCCGCTGGCCTCTAGAAAGTCAAAAGTGCCCCATCCAGCGAGTCCCTCCCCAGCCAGGGCGAGGATGGCTGGAAAACACAAGAGCTTCTGTGGTGGGCACCCTGCGGGCGGAGGAGGGCGGTGTTGGGAAGCGGGGGAGGGGCCAGGGTTGTGCCACCGCAGGTCCCCCTGTACACGCCCCTCCCTTCCCTTAATGACCAGTGTCAGCCCAGAATGTCTGCAGGACACTCCTGCAATGATTTATCTTCTCCCGGCCCTGCGATGTAGCTTGGGTCACTTCCCTGTGGCTACTTCCCTGGAGTAAAGGACTTTCCTTGTGTTGTCCTAAACTTAACTCCTTAGAAAGCCAAGGAGTACAGGTGTGTATGTTCATGTGGGTGTGTGCACGTATGTGCCTGTGCATGTGTGTGCATGTTGCAGCCCTGTGTGCTCATGTGTGTGTTCATGTGTGTGTGCACATGGCAGCATGTGTGTGCATGTGTGCACATTGCAGTCTGGGAGCAGGGGCTCTTCCTGGCACTGTGGAATTGACACGTGTGAGTGTGCATGTGCACATTGCAGCCTTGTGTGCTCATGTGTGTGTTCATGCACGTGTGTGCACATTGCAGCATGTGTGTACGTGTGTGTGTCTGTGTGTGTGTGCACATTGCAGTCTGTGCATGTGCATATGTGCGTGTGTGCACATGTGTGCATCTGACAGCAGGGGCTCTTCCTGGCACCGTGGAATTGACACGTGTGAGTGTGCATGTGCACATTGCAGCCTGTGTGTGCTCATGTGTGTGTTCATGCACGTGTGTGCACATTGCAGCATGTGTGTGCATGTGTCTGTGAATGTGCATATGTGTGTGTGTGCACATGTGTGCATCTTGGAGCAGGGGCTCTTCCTGTCACCATGGAGTTGACAAACAGGTCCTCTTGGTCACCATCATGTGGACTTCTATCCTAAGCCCCAAAATGTTGCCTTTCCTCACTAAGCGGCCCTGATCACTTAGCCATTCTCACAGCAGCAGTTTCTGGGCCGTTCTCTGAAGTCCTCAGCCCCCAGATATCCTCACTGGGTGCTGGAGCTTATCTGAGGATTCACTCAGGATTCCCAAGTATCCTTCCCACACACAGGGATCAGTCTCTCTCTCTCTCTCTCTCTCTCTCTCTCTCTCTCTCACACACACACACACACACACACCAGGGCAGGGGAGGCTGCCCACTCCCCACGAGCTTCCGCCTGGCTTCAGTGCCCAGCCTCAGCACTGTGGCCCTCAGGGAGGCAGAGAGGCTCCAAGTTAGAGCTGGGAGGTGGAAAGTGGGCTGAGGCCGGCAGGACAGGACCCCTCCTGGGGTGCAGGCCCAGGAGGCTGTGGGAGGCAGGGCTGGGCCATGCTGGGCCCCTGAGCCCAGCGACAGAGGAAAGATTTCAGCTCCCTCTCCCTAGGCAACCCGCCTGCTTCCTGCCCGCCCCCAGGAGCTTTGCCAGATAGCAGCGTGCCCCTGAGACAGCACTGCCTGCTCAAGGAAACCAGCTTTGCAAACAAGGCCAAGCAGCATGCCTGGGCCTCCCTCAGACCACAGAGCAGGTGTGCCGGCATGGCCTGACCGTGGCTTATGCGGCCATCCCAGTGCCCCTGGAGGGCCCACCCCAGGGCCAGTGGGTGGCTCCCTGTGCCTGAGTCTGTCCAGCATCCTCATCCTCATCCCACCAGGAGGTGGCCGGTCCTAAGTGCTGGGGGCCTTCTCTCTTGGGTGTCCCCATGGGCCTGCACCTCCCACAAGTTCAGAAAGAAAACAAACCATCATTTCCAGACTTCGACGCGGGCTTTCCCTCTGCTTCTCCCCTTCTCTCTCCTCTTCTCCAGGAACTCCTCTTCCTCTGAGAGGGACACCCTCCCCTTAATTGCATTCTCATTAAACAAGCTTTTAATAAATACACACCAAGGGAAAGAGGGTTGTGCAACACAGCACTCTTACAAGTGATAATTAAACATGGAGCACAGCAATTAAGCAAATCAGGGAACAACGCAGGGGTGGGCAAACAGCTCCACCGCCAGAGCCGTGCTTAGGAAGAGCCCGGAACCCACAGCAGCCTCAGAGGCGACGGCACAGCCTTGAAAACCTGCTCCTTCGTCTAAGAAAAGGGTATCTTGTTGGGTTATCAAAAAGCACATTGGGGGACTGGCACTATAGCGTAGCAGGTTAAGCTGCTGCCCGTGTTGCCAGCATCCCATACGGGTGCCGGTTTGAGTCCCAGCTGCTCCAGTTCCGATCCAGCTCCCTGCAAAGGCACCTGAGAAAGCAGTGGAAGATGGCCCAAGAGCTTAGGCCCCTGCACCCGTGTGGGAAACCCGGATGAAGCTCCCAGCTCCTGGCTTCAGCCTGGCCCAGCCTAGGCCATTGCAACTATTTGAGGAATGAACCAGTGGATGCAAGAGCTCTCTGCCTCTCCCTTTCTCTCTGTAACTCTGACTTTCAAATGAACATTCTCAAAAAAAAATCGCATTGGGCTCAGTCTATGAGATATGAGGAGAGGGACGGGGAGCTGGGGATTTCCTGCTCTCCACAGTCTCCACAGCCATGAAAGCAGGTTTGGGGGCCCCCAAGCCTTCATGCATCTGTGCCATGGCCCAGAAAACCTCACTCCTTCTCCTGCCCTGAACTCAAATCCTGCTGACCTTCCCCCTCACCACCCTTGGATCAGCTAGGAGGCAGCTTGGTGCACGCGAGCCCGAGAGGCCTGCATTCTGTCCCACATGACCCCCACTTTAACCGTGCACCCCTGGGAGAGCCACTGTCCCTCTCAGGACCACGGCCCCCTCTCCTTAGTAACACTCTGGGCTTTAGGCCCCCGGAGAACATCTCCAGGCATCTCCACACCTGCCCATGGGCTCACAGCGAGGATGTGATCTGTGACCCGAGCTCAGAGCAAAGCCCAAGGACACCCCGGCTGTGGTCCTTCTGCAGCCCAGTGGGGCCAGCTCTGTGGCTGCAGAACTCCCACCTACAAGTGGCTCTGCTCTCTCCTGGGAGGGCAGCTCAGGGATTCATTCTGATGGGCCCCCTGATCTGCCCCACTGAACGGTCCCTGCAGGAGGCAGGAGCTTGTCTCTGGAGAAATGGATCAAGACTCTGGCCACAGTGCCCCTACACACAGAGGCACACAGACACAGTTTTCAGGGCCCTCTCCATTGCCCACAGAGGCCTAGAACATTCTATGAATAGTCTAACAGCCCAGGGACTGGTGGCAGCAGGAGGAAGGCAAGCTCAGAATTGGAATGACTGTATGACCATGAATTCCTAGGCGACCTCTTGCCCCTGGCACGGCCAGGTGTGGGGGGAGACTGGTCTGGTCTGAGAGGGGCCGGAGGGAATGAGCAGACTGGCCCTGGGTGCACTCGGGCTCAGCTCGGCATGCGTGCCAGCAGCAGAGGGGCCTCCCTCGCGGGTCTTCTATGTAACTGCAGAGCTGTGAGCCGCGCAGAGGCTCCCAAGTAAAGAGATGCTGTCCCCTCGGCCACCAGGCACCCAGGGGACAGGTCTGCATGCAATGTCCATTTGCAAAGCAGTACACTAATACCTCCACCACGTGCCTCACCCAGGCGGGGAGCTGCCGGAAGTCAAATCTGACAAATATAAACAGAAGAGGCGCAGGTGCCAGCGATGGAGTCGGCTTACATGGAAGTCGGGCTACGATTTGTGATGAAATTACATTCCGGATTCATAAATCTCATTCCATAACCTCTTGGAGTCCAGCACTCAAAACTATCATGTACATATTAATAGATGTGAATAATACCCCGTCCCTCTGTG